CCTGTGTAATTTTATATCATATCAACCTCATTTAGGAACTCGAGTTAAACTATTGTTAATTTATCACATGGAACTAATATATTTATAATAAATAATAACATATACTAATGTAAAGTCATCTTGTGCATAACTTTTGTATTTGTTTTATTCATCACGCGATTGCATGATTAAACGGTGTGCTACTAACATTTGAAATTAGAATGTCTTACCTAAACGGTACTAACATTTGAAATTAGGATGTCTAAATTTTACTTGATTAGGTGCTTACGCAAGAAGAGTCAGACGTGGGTTTCTTCTGCCTTACGTCGAAACGAGGAATTCGGCGTTCATCTCATCTTTGCTTCAGCGTTGCCGAGGCAGAAGAAGACAGAGTGGACCAGAACCACTGAACAGATAATGCAATTTCTCATTGCCTTATATATATATATATATTTAGAGTTTATGTTACAGGTTAAGATGTAATTAATATATGTTTTTATATTAATTAATGTTAAAAATAATAAAAATAATATTAATTTATTATTAATATTATATATTATTTTAATTAAATAATTAATTAGTTAAATATTAAATTCTATTTTTTCAATGATAATTAATATAGAAAAAGTGTTCTTAACTCTCTATATATATATATATATATATATATATAGATTTGCTGTTTGGGTCTGTTTTCTGGGTTTCTCTACTTATTGGGCCTTCACAAATAAAAGAAAAGAAAAATGGAAGGTATTAGTGGGTGCGTAATGAGTTGGGCTTTACCCAAAACAATACTCCTTGGGCAGCCCAAGATCTTTCCTATTCATCAATAAAATAATAATTAAATAAATAAATTTTAGAGCATGTTTGCTAGAGCTGTGGGAAATCCATTTAGATTTTAAAAACTTGAATGGCATCAAACATTAAAATTTACAAAAAAATGCTATAACTTTTTATAAGTTAATTTTTTGTCTATTTTATTATAAATTTTAGAAGCACCAAATTGATGATTTTATTTTATTTTTATTTTTTTTTCTATTTATAAAAATAATATTTTTATGATAATTTCTTTTCAGCAGAATTTTTATTAAAAAACTGTAGCCACATGGGCACTTATTTTGCTACCGAAAAAAACAAATTAAATGAGTATTATTACCAGA